TACAGACTCTATATGGGCTATTACATGTAATACCAGTTTAAAACCTTTGTTTAGTAGGATGATTCAATGATTATCGAAAAAACGTATCCAACATCGAGGTGGCTTATTAAATTGCCTTTCGCAAGGGCATACACTTAACGAGGCTATGGAGTGGCAGCCATTTTTATACTATTTCAATCTCCTTTAAAAGGAGAGCTCCATATAAAGATATAAAAAATGATAAAATTTGAAAACTAAAATAAATGAATTCTTTCTTTGCCAAATGATAGTTGACAGCTAAATATACCATATCTAAAAAAATGAGTTAAATCTAGTGGTTAATTTGGGATTAAATTGTTGACCCGCCAGCCTCCTTAATAGATGTTAGCCATTTCTTAATAGAAATAAAGGATTTTTTCCTTAACTTGAAAAAATGCTGCTTTAAATCTAGAGTGTGACTAAATCAGGATATAAAATACTTGGTAAAGGTTAAACATATTTTGACATGGGCATATGTACTTGAAATTTTAACTATTAAAATGCGAGTTTTGTTTAAAGCAGCAGCCATTTCCAGAAAGAACAAAGTATGCAAAAATAAATAGTGACTTAAATTTTTAATTTCAACTAGGATATGCCCTTGCGATATTGAAATTTAGTTATGACCTCCATTCAGTACACATACTATGCATTTTTCACGTGACTGTCCATTGATTGGACCAAACTTAGTTCAGTACAGAGTAGGGGTATACTATGTTAATTCAACAAATATTTAAGTTATGTTATATTTTGCACGTCTATATTCCATTGATTTCTTTATAGTAAGTCTTAACAGTGCTGCAATATTTAAAACAATTAAAAGCTGAATTTCAACGTTTAAACATTCCTCTTTTCCTAGCATGCATTAAATCAAATATATACTTCTATTTTGCAGCGGCATGGGAGTTTTAGTATTTCATCGGGGGGGGGGGGGGGGTTACTGATCAATGATCACTCTCAACTTGGCATAAATGAGATTCAAAGTTTAATTTTTATTGTGACGCTTTTTAAATACTTGTGGGATATACGTGAACAACAATAATAATTATATAAGGGATCTGTGGTCATAGATTTGTATGTTCACTGTATATATAAGAGATAAAATAGAATTTCAAAAACAGTAAATTTGTTAGTGAATTAGACTACTAGTATGTTGACTGGAAGGCAACAAAGAGAAAAAAATGAGATTAAACGGAGAACGCAACAAATGCGGATTAGGGAATAGGGAGTTCAATGCGGTCAGAGAGAGAGAGAGAGAGAGAGAGAGAGAGAGAGAGAGAGAGAGAGGACTATAACTGTTGATAATTTTGTGATAGGCGAAAAGCTATTTATGTATTCTTATGCTTATAGGCAAGCTCATTGCAGCTTGTTTTTTGCTAATTTTGTATAAGTCAAATAAAACACTTTCACAGAGATGAATAAAGTCATTTATTAAAATGACGGTATAAATGGGAACAATTTAACAAACAAGAAGGAGATCAGATTCACAAGCTTTGATTAGCAGCTACGTAAAATATGATAATGTTTGATCCCCAAAACTGACTAGAAAAAGTATCTGTAAGACAAGACAATCAAAACATTCTATGAAAAAGTTAGCAAAAGGATGGCACATAAAAAAGGACCTATTGTTTTCGATACTTGAATGATAAGTAAACAAGTACATGTATATCATACATTCTTCAGTCTTGACCTGTTGACATCCACTGATACGTGGGACTCACAATGTTCCTATTATTTTGTACTTTTTTATCAGAGTTTCAATTTCAAGTTAATGTAAATAGATGTTCAGTTTTCGTCCCAATATTGTCTTCAAGAATGCCAACGCGACTGAACATTTCTCAAACAAAAGATTTTACAACAAAAGATCACTGAACATTGCAGCCTCGAGTGATATAACAAAATTCATGCAAATACAATTAAACACTAGCCACGTTGTGAACGTGTTATGATTTAGATTTTATTTTTTAATATTAATAATAATTTTCAAAAGAATTTAATTCGAAAAATATGGCCTGGAGATAAAAACATTTACGAAAAGACGTCGATTCTGTAATATATAATAAAAAGTATGACTGAATACTTATTATCATGCAAGTATATAAATTGAAAAACTAGCTCAATTCATAAGAAAAATTGTGAACTTAAGTTTGACTTAACTAAGACCTCGCTAAGTTCGATTTATGTTACGGTTTAAGACATACTTAAATAGTACTAAGACAGGTCCTAAGATTGTGCCTAAAACATATCTAAGACCCTACATAACTCGAAAACATAGCAAGTTTAAACATAAAAATATCAATAAAAACACATCTAGAACTGATGAGTCAAGTTGATTACGATTAATTTTCAGCTAAAAACGTTTACTAGCGTGCAAAATTATGATCTGCGCAGGTATGTTAAGGCAGCACATGGATCAGAATTCGGCGAATTAACACTTTTTTAAAATTATGTAACACTAATAAATCGGAAAAGTCAAGGATAAAACTTTTACTATAATTATGCATTCTATAGACTTCAATGGGACTTATACTACAGGAGGCACTTCACCACGACGTCACCATGTGACGTCTATAATTCGAAAATATGCCTTAATGAAAAAGTGAAAAGTTTAACACTACCCCGGGGACAATTAGTTTCAATTTATATTATTAGTTATGTAAAAACATCTCTGTACCATGAAAAGTGCTGTTAGAATCCTACTGTCCTTTTATAGAAATAATTGTTCAACAATTCCGGACGAAACCTTTACATTTTGTTCATAATATCGAAAAAAAATGCATCAATTCCCGTAAACCATACGATTCTAGCAGCACTTTCCAAAAACAAAAGAATAAGAACTTAAGAGAGAAACAAAAAAAAAGTTTCAAGGTATGCGGCGTAGTATTGAACTTTTGCATCTTTTTTGTTACGAACGACAGAGAAAAGGCTGATCGGCAAGTAAACACCCTCCCTGCTTTAATTTTACGAAGAAATTGCAGAATAATATTACCATACCTTATTCATACGCGTTATTCCCACAAGAATCACACATGATATTCATTCTAAATGCTTTTAAACTCCGATTTCTTGTGTTTGTTTACATCAATTCTCGTTACTTTTCACTTTCACTCTGCTACTGCATGATCAACAGTTATGACGTCAGGGTTTGGTATGTAACCCCTGTGATAACTACAGAGGCCCAGGAATGACAAAATTCCATTGATATTATTCCTATGCATATTTTGGGTTCATTTTTACGATTTCAAATCAATCTTAGATATAGATTTTAAGAAATTGTTATCTCTAAATCTCACGTCATATAGCTTATTATGACGTCATATCATATAGGCAAGTAGAATATATGATTGTAACCTTAACCTACCTGCGTGCACTGTACAATGTTGAGAAAAAAACTTATTAGTTTAACTTTTAACTCTCAATCATAAAATGAATAAGCATGCAGAGAATTCAACAAAGCAAAGAGCATTCAAGAAAAAAGATTAATGTGACTCGTTTTCCATGGCACTAAATACATATCAATGGTGTTTAAGAAATGTGGAGCTGACAATAACAGCCCAGTATATTGTTGTCTGGAAACAGCTTACATGTTTTAGTATTGTATTATGTTTATGCATTATACCAAGATATAAGGGCTACATGTGCAGTGCATGCCGGGTGTATAGTTCTTTGTCTTATAGAGTCAAATAGACATTTGAATACCTTTTATACAGTTTCATTTTCCGTTTTTAATATTGAACATTATTTTTTCGTTTTAAATATTATGACACCTTCTAATAATATCCATGTATTTACAAAATATTTTTCCTTAGTTTGTGTTTCTGGGTTGTCCACAATATTTACAGAATTTTCCCATTCTTTAGTACGGCCTCTTTGCAATCCTTTTATTTAATCCTTCCCAAATATTTTGATTTCATCTGTAAAAAAAAAACCTTGATCATGTTTAGATGCATACTTCCATATACTTCCATATACTTTGGGACAGGAAGGTTTAATTGTAAGCTAATCAATGTAATAGTATCTTGATTTCTCATGATCAAATATTGCCTACTTAATCAAATGTCTTACGAAAAATAAGAACCGATATGCCGATGAGATTTTCTGGCCCATCTTATGCATCAATCTATCACTAAGTTTAATAATTAATGTTGACAGCCTTTACAAACGGAACATAATTCCTGAAAACAAGGATTGTTAGCTTATTAAAAATAAGACTCGGGTAATTTCAAGCAGTAGATAAGTACTTTTAATTATTTTTGATTAAGTTCTTAAAATAGATATTGATATACATTTTCTAGGATCAGCTTTATCGGCCTTTTTGTATACATGTATACGGTTGTAACTTATGCTTGATTTAGATGTGAATGAAATACATGTATGTCATTAGTGATTCTTGTCAATGATTTGATAAGTTTCCTTATAATGTTTTTGGAATTCCTATATGTACAAAAAGTGCCTGTTATTAATTAAAAGTTAGTTTTGTTTCATAAGAAACAGATTTTATTTTAAATTTACAAATGCAAAGGGATAGAAGTAATTTCCTTCTTTTTTGTGGTTTTCCAGTCGACATCTACATAACATAAATAATTTGACGTATCCAAATAAACTCCAAATAAAAGCTACGAAGAACATAATCTTATATATATATTTGACTCAAGTAAACTAAAGTCGTCACTTTTCAAAAAATCCAATCTTAAATGACTGAATAATTGTTTATTATCATCAATCTGTATTGTATTCTGCGTAAAATAATTTTCAGTCCATTAGTCCATTAAAAATTACAAAATATGTGGTGCTGATATCTTTTAAAATGCTGAAATTTGAATAAACATTGTTTATGAATACTATGCTCTTTGGTAGAGTCTCGATATCAGCAATTATCTAAATTAAAGATATATAATTATGGCAATGAATACATTTTAAAACGAATTATGAGTGAATATTACCCCTGGTATATGGGTTTCTGGAATAAGCATATTTCATACCTTTTTAATCAAATTGACTCCGATCTAATTCCTGAACTTGAGAAACATTACCAGTCCGGAACAGGTAACAAATAACACTGAGAAGATATAGCCTGGTACGAGAATAAATTAAAAATTTAATATCAATACACTTCATTATTATTTTGATATGTATTTTTATTTTCACGTGGATTCTTTTTATCACATGTAACGATTTTATAAACTTTGAAATGAATGACACCTTTAGCATTCCATTTATAGATATAAATAAATACATGTACCTGTTGAACATGCCCTGGATGCACCCTTTTGTGACTCTGAGCTCTCTGTAAAATATTAAACAAAAGAGGATTAAAATATTGCAATTTTCGGAGAAAAAATTAAATCCACTCTTATTAATTTTCTTTATTCTATTTTTCATTATTTTGCATTTATTTTATGCAATTGTGAGGAGTTTTGCTAGTGGAAGCCTTGCAGTCAACACCATCTTTAAGTGTCAGGAATGAATTTCACATTATTCATGTGATAACTTTAATAATTTAAAAGTAATTCCCAGAAAATTTGGACGACCTATTTTTGTATTCATATGAAGCAGATTTTGTGCAAAATCTTCAGCGTGAAAAGAAGAAAATACTTGCTTGGCCTTTAACTCAACATTTAGATATATCAACGAGGTACTGTTAATTAACAATGGTAATTTCTATATTCCTATATCGATACGATATATCCCGGGGAGCTTGAGATAAAAAATACCACTGAGTCTGACACACCTGTTTTATACTTGGATATTTTACTTGAAAAATACATTAATGCTAATCTAACAACCAATCTTATATCTCTATGATGAACAAAATGACTTTAACTTTTCTATAGTCAACTTCCCTTACTTATGCAGTAATATAACTTGTCACCTGCAGACGGAGTTTATATATCTCAGTTAATTCGTTACACAAGAGCATGCTCTACATATGAACAATTTCTTAAACGATGTAAATTATTGACAAACAAGTTGATGAAACAAGACTATCAGCAGTCTCGTTTAAAGTCATCATTTCGTAAGTACTTTGGTCGATACAATGACCTTGTCAGCAAATACAATTTATCATTGAGTCAAATGCTGACTGACGTTTTTCATACTAATTGTTAGTCCATTATTTATACACTGAATTGACGACGTATTTTCTTGTTATTTCCTGGTCATTACAAGGAGCACAAAGCGATGTGACCGATCGGCAGGAGATGTTAACTCCTTTAAGGCACCTGATCCCACCTCTGATGGTTCGGAGGTCCGTGTTTGCTCTGCTCCTGTTTTGAATTGTTTTATGGACTTTTGATTTAGAATACCATTTGTTATCTCCATATGCTTTACGAGAAAGACGTCAAATAATATATGTTTTTGATATTTAAATAATAATTACGTTCGTTATTGTATGCCCACCTTCTATTAGTATTCTTCTATTTTTCAATTTATCATTTACACTGTATTTCAATTTAAGGGGGGGGGAGATTTATGTAAATTGCTTTTTGTTTTCTGTTGATTTTTGTCTATTGTGAGAAACACAAGGTTTATCAAAATTTTAGAATTATCTCTCTTTGTTTTTTTTTTCTAAATGAAGAATTTTGATGGATGTCACATTTAAATCAAATCAAATAATAAAAATCTTTAAAATATGTTAACTTCTTACAAATGACTTAAGGTTCCGAATACTACATGTAAAAGTGAATTAGTGTAGCGACTATATGCTTATTTTTAATTATACTTAAAATAAAAAAGAAAACACGGAAAACTTCAGTAAAGCTTTAGGCCTTTCATTCTATCTTCAGAAGCTTAAAAGAATTATTTATATATATATTCCTAAAAAAGCTTATTTATATATATATTCCTAAAATTATATATGAATATGGGGAAAATATATCGAGAGTAGTGATTGCAAACCTTTTTAGCTCACCTGAGCCAAAGGCTCAAGTGAGCTTTTCTGATCAAAATTTATCCGTCGTCTGTTGTCGTTGTCGTAAACTTTTCACATTTTCATCTTCTTCTCAAGAACCACTAAGCCAATTTCAACCAAACTTGGCACAAAGTATCCTTGGGTAAAGGGGATTCAAGTTTGTTCAAAGGAAGGGCCATGCCCTTTTCCAAGGGGAGATAATCATGATTTAGAGAAAAATTATTGGCATTTTTAAAAAGTCCTCTCCTCAAGAACCACTGGGCCAGGAAAGATGAAACTCATGTGGAATCATCCTCAGGTAGTGTAGATTCCATTTTGTTCAAGTCATGACCCCCGGGGGTAGGGCAGGGCCAAAATGGCCGATCAAAGTTTTACATAGGAATATATAGGAAAAATCTTCAAAAATCTTCTTCTCAAGAACCACTGGGCCAGGAAAGATGAAACTCATGTGGAATCATCCTCAGGTAGTGTAGATTCAAGTTTGTTCAAGTCATGACCCCCGGGGGTAGGGCGGGGCCAAAATGGCCGATCAAAGTTTTACATAGGAATATATAGGAAAAATCTTTAAAAATCTTCTTCTCAAGAACCATTGAAACAGGAAAAATGAAACTCATGTGAAATCATCCTCAGGTAGAGTAGATTCAAGTTTGTTCAAGTCATGACCCCCGGGGGTAGGGCGGGGCCAAAATGGCCGATCAAAGTTTTACATAGAAATATATAGGAAAAATCTTCAAAAATCTTCTTCTCAAGAACCACTGGGCCAGGAAAGATGAAACTCATGTGGAATCATCCTCAGGTAGTGTAGATTCAAGTTTGTTCAAGTCATGACCCCCGGGGGTAGGGCGGGGCCAAAATGGCCGATCAAAGTTTTACATAGGAATATATAGGAAAAATCTTTAAAAATCTTCTTCTCAAGAACCATTGAAACAGGAAAGATGAAACTCATGTGAAATTATCCTCAGGTAGTGTAGATTCAAGTTTGTTCAAGTCATGACCCCGGGGTAAGGGTGTGGCCAAAATGGCCGACCAAAGTTTTACATAGAAATATATAGGAAAACATTTTTAAATCTTCTTTTCAAGTACTTTAAAGCCAGGATTAGTAATATTTGTATGGAATCATCCTCAGGTAATGTAGATTCTACTTCGTTCAAATTATGATACCCTTGGGGGTTTAAATTCAAGCCCCCCCCCCAACTTAAATTAACTTTCAGTTCTGATCTGATATGTGTTTTTTCCTAGCTGATGTGCTCAGGTGAGCGCTGTGGCCCACGGGCCTCTTGTTTTAATTAGAATCATATTATACTTTAATGCAATCTAAATAACCTTTAGGGAAATTTTTGAAATGAAAGATGATTAATCACTGCTTATATTAAAACAAGAAGCCCATGGGCCACATCGCTCACCTGAGCACTAAGGGTAGGAAAAAGTAGAAAATGGCTTTTTATTGTGAAGTTTAAATCCAAAAGTAGTTCCATGACCAATCATGGATTTGCTATTTGTTAGAAAATAATTTTTAAAGAATTTTCCTATATAATCTTTAAAAACTTTAGTCGGCCATTTTGACCAAGCCCTACCCCTGGGGGTCATGATTTGAAAAAATTTGAATCTACACTACTTAAGCATGCTTCCATATAAATATGATGAATTATGGCTTTGTCATTCTTGAGAAGAAGATATTTAAAGAATTTTCCTATATATTTCTATGTAAAACTTTAGTCGGCCATTTTGGCCCCGAGCTACCCCCGGGGGTCATGATTTGAACAAACTTGAAACTACACTACCTTAGCATACTTCCAAATAAATATGATGAATTACGGCTTTTTCATTCTTCAGAAGAAGATTTTTAAAGAATTTTCATATATATTTTTATATAAAACTTTGGTCGGCCATTTTGGCCCCGCACTTCCCCCGGGGGTAATGATTTGAACAAATTTAAATTTACACTACTTGAGCATGCTTCCATATAAATATGATGAATTATGGCTTTGTCATTCTTGAGAAGAAGATTTTTAAAGAATTTTCCTATATATTTCTATGTAAAACTTTGGTCGGCCATTTTGGCCCCGCCCTTCCCCCGGGGGTCTTGATTTGAACAAACTTGAATCTACACTACCTGAGCATGCTTCCATATAAATATGATGAATTATGGCTTTGTCATTCTTGAAAAGAAGATTTTTAAAGAATTTTCCTATATATTTCTATGTAAAACTTTGGTCGGCCATTTTGGCCCCGCCCTTCCCCCGGGGGTCATGATTTGAACAAATTTGAATCTACACTACTTGAGCATGCTTCCATATAAATATGATGAATCATTGCTTGGTCATTCTTGAGAAGAAGATTTTTAAAGAATTTTCCTATATATTTCTATGTAAAACTTTGGTCGGCCATTTTGGCCCCGCCCTTCCCCCGGGGGTCATGATTTGAACAAACTTGAATCTACACTACCTGAGCATGCTTCCATATAAATATGATGAATTATGGCTTTGTCATTCTTGAAAAGAAGATTTTTAAAGAATTTTCCTATATATTTCTATGTAAAACTTTGGTCGGCCATTTTGGCCCCGCCCTTCCCCCAGGGGTCATGATTTGAAGAAATTTGAATCTACACTACCTGAGCATGCTTCCATATAAATATGATGAATTATGGCTTGGGCATTCTTGAGAAGAAGATTTTTAAAGAATTTTCCTATATATTTCTATGTAAAATTTTGGTCGGCCATTTTGGCCCCGCCCTTCCCCCGGGGGTCATGATTTGAACAAACTTGAATCTACACTACCTGAGCATGCTTCCATATAAATATGATGAATTATGGCTTTGTCATTCTTGAGAAGAAGATGTTTAAAGAATTTTCCTATATATTTCTATGTAAAACTTTGGTCGGCGATTTTGGCCCCGCCCTTCCCCCGGGGGTCATGAATTCAACAAATTTGAATCTACACTACTTGAGCATGCTTCCATATAAATATGATGAATTATGGCTTTGTCATTCTTGAAAAGAAGATTTTTAAAGAATTTCCTATATATTTCTATGTAAAACTTTGGTCGGCCATTTTGGCCCCGCCCTACCCCCGGGGGTCATGATTTGAACAAACTTGAATCTACACTACCTGAGCATGCTTCCATATAAATATGATGAATTATGGCTTTGTCATTCTTGAGAAGAAGATTTTTAAAGAATTTTCCTATATATTTCTTTGTAAAACTTTGGTCGGCCATTTTGGCCCCGCCCTACCCCCGGGGGTCATGAATTGAACAAACTTGAATTTACACTACCTGAGGATGTTTCCCCATAAGTTTCATCTTTTCTGGCACAGTGGTTCTTGAGAAGAAGATTTTTAAAATATGCCACCAAATTTTCATTAATTCCCAATTATCTCCCCATGGTTGAGGGCGTGGCCCTTCATTTGAACAAACTTGAATTCCCTTCACCCAAGGATACTTTGTGGCAAGTTTGGTTGAAATTGGCCCAGCGGTTCTTGAGAAGAAGTCGAAAATGTGAAAAGTTTACAGACAGACAGACGGACAGAAAGACGGACGCCGGACAAAATGTGATCAGAAAAGCTCACTTGAGCTTTCAGCTCAGGTGAGCTAAAAAGGGAGAGAAAAGTTTGTTTACTCACTCAGGGTAATGTTAAGATACTGTATGGCTGTTCCTGTTCCACAGAGACCAAAGTATCCAGACTCACACAGAAACTGTGTATAGGTGTCACTGCTTGTGAGGTTGTAGGTGATAGTACTAGAACGAATGTACTGACAGCCAGATGGTGAGGGCTGGGAGTGGACTGGTGTCATTGGTTACCCTGTGAAGGACTGTGCTCCAGCAGTCTTAGCACACCACCGTATTGTCTGGAATTGACCCAAATAACATTTTTATGAACTAAAACATGTTTTAGTCATGAAGTATATATTGTTGGAACTTCGCATGCATGTAATTTTTTTAGATTTTCGAACACAAATTAGAATACCGTTATTGTTATTTTAAATGTGAAAGAAAGCAATGCAAACGATTCAAATTGCACGATATGAAAACAAAGTTTTATCAATATGAATTGAATGGCAATTAAATCCGAGAATAGTTTTTCTTCTCAAAAAATTTATATTTTTTGGCTTTTTCCCGTGCACATAAACATTTACGCTATTGTGTTTGTAATGTACTTTCTTTTATAACTGTTTCCCTTTCATTGTATCAAGTAAGATTTGGCTACTACTTAGTCAGTCTCAGGTCTAGGTATTTTGTCAATCAAATTAATGTTACAGTCATCTAATTTTAAACTTAAAAACTTATTTTTTTTAAATAAATGAATAGAAAAATAGATAACTTCGAGGTGTGAAATTTTAACATTTATTTCTTGTGATTGTGAATGATGAAAGAATCTCTTTTTCATTTTCCCGAGGGAGAAAAAGTATTTTGACACAACTGAATTTCAGATATGATGAACAATCTAGTAATTACACTAAAGTCAATCTCCAATAAATGTTGGACTTTGAGCTAAGGATAGTCAAGAAAATGATCTTTGTTAGACATAGCCATTCATGAAAGCAAAAGATCATTGCGTCTGTAGGAGAGAAAGATCAACATCCACAAAGCGGCCATGCTAAAGGATATCTCAATGGTAAAAGTTACCAATGTCTCCTGCTATATTGGTGATCTCTGTAAACATCCTGACTGAGAGAAGGTTGCTAGCACATAAAAAAAATCATTCAATATCTTAAAATAAATAATAAAAATCCAGAAACAAATCGGAAGAAGAGCCAAAGACTAGCAACACAATATTATGTATTTCTTTAATAGCAATTCTAATTTCAAGCTAGAAACTCCTGATTTAATCGTGTTATATCAAAAATCGAATATAATATTTTCAAAGACAAACATTTTTTTCGGAAACTAAAATTACAACTTTCACGCCTTCACGTCATTGAAGAAAGAATTCTGTCCGAAAATAGCTTATATTTCTAAACTTACTTGACAGATACGTTCCCATACATTTTACCACATTATTGAAGCTTCGCTTAAGATTTTCGAACAGAAAGAAGGACCAGCAACTTTTTTTTTTTTCATTTTTGAATAAAAAGCGTGCATTGCAGTCCAGGACACAATAAAAGGTAGAATTATGTTGGTAAGAAATTATTCCGAATTGATATTTTTCAAAAAGTAACAATATAACAATGAGTTCCACAAAGACAGAAAACTATTGTGCCGAGTAAATCGTCTTGACCTATAAACCCCTGTATGTTTGTACAATTAAATGAAGGAAAAAATGTGCAATTGCAGATAAAGCAATCTTTTAACACACCTGCAAACTTGAAAACATTTGAATACAGCGTGTGGACATTTTAAGAGCACATTATTTAAAAACAATTTTATATACACAGCAGAAAAATTACAACCTTTCTGTCTTCTAAACGAAAATCATGATAATCGTATTTCCTTTTCAACTTCAAACCATCTGTATTAAAATACATACCGCACTAGAATCACTGACTATCTGTCCTGTACAAGTTAACTGCAAATTTGTTCCTACTTCAAACTGTCTTTCATTTGTGTCAAACTGTTCTCTTAGTATCCTCACTTTTGGTGTTTCAATAAACACTGGCCTAACTGTAACAAATAAATAAATCTTACATTGCAAGTCCCGTGAATTGTAGGTGTTTTTTTTTATTCTTTAACAGTGTGACATGTAATATTTTTCATGCTATTTAATGGGTTTGCTATGATCATAATAAAAAAAAACTGAAGAGAATAATAAGGAATTCTGCACCGATATACGTTCATTAATGCAATACTGCATACAGGGAAATGTTTGCCCCTGTTTTTTTCTCCCCTTCCGCCCTAGCCTCATTTGGGCGAAATTAAAAGGGAGCGAATTAACAGAATACAGTATAATTTCTTAAACAAAACTATGACCAAGCGAATTCAAAACAAGGCATAATTGTTTGTAAGTGTGAAAGGGCGAAAATAAGACGGGGCGAAAATAACCCTCTATACAGTATATCATATGTGGAAAGAGGAAAACTAATTTTTGACATGGCAATGTTGACAAAAATTGTCGTTTTATTCATATCTTATTTTCCACGATGTATAAACCAACACAAAACATCTCTTCATAAGTGTGAATAGTAAAATCAAAAAAAAAAAAAAAAAAAAAAAAGAAGAAAAGAAAATAGGATAATCATCTTCCTTTACAGCTCATGATACAAACAAGCATACAATGGTTCCTCCATCTCTGCATGCACTTACCTTTATAAGAAACTTGCAATGGATTTGTTTCGGTAATTTTCTCAGAAATCATATTTGAATTACTGTCTAGCCCACTCATTTTACATCTGTACTCTTTAAAATCATCTGGACATCTGATATTGGACTTTGGAAAGGTAACTCTTAGCTGCTCTTCTGAATCAAGATTTAGGGAGCCCGTGGCTGTTGTCAAGTTATTCAATGTTAAATCTTCATACGTTATCACTTCTCGTTGATCTTTCAAGGTAAGAGCTACAACTGTCTCAAAACCGTTCGAAGTGTTTCTCTGCAGGTGTATATTATATAACACGCTGACATGTGATGCGCTTTGTATGGAACAAACAATGACCAATTCATCCTTTCCCAACTCTACGACTTGTGGTTGAACCTGGATCTGCAGATTCGGAGATAATGCTATAAGAAACCATAAATATACAAATAATTTTCACATATCATTAAGCCATCCCTGCATCTGACATTGAAGTCTTTTTAAAAGTAATGGATTATTTTAAAGATAGATGCATATATTACTAATTAATATGTAGATGATAAAAAAGAAAAATCATTTTAAAAACCTTAAAAATAAAGATGCATAATCTGTTGAAATTTTGTCGTGGTAACGCTATCTAAGCACTTTATATTTTTATTTAACGCTTATTTTTTTAAAATTGTATCCTTCGACTTTATCAAGGGTTACGAAATCATTTCGTATTTTACACTGAGGTTGTAAAACATATAGTTACTTAACTTCATACATGGAATCGATAGATCCCACTTCTATATGAAGGATATGGAGATAACGAACAGTATTCAATCTCAAAGTTCATAAAACAATATACAAAATAAGAGCAGAAAAAACACGGCCCTCCGAACCATCAGAGGTGGGATCAGGTGCCATGGAGGAGTGAGCATCCCCTGCCGACTGGTCACAACCGCCGTGTGCTCGTTGTCATGATCAGGAAATAACGGGAAAAAATCCGTCGTCAATTCAGTGTATAAATGATGGACTAACAATTGGTATGAAAAACGTCAGTCAACATTTGACTTAATGATAAATTGTATTTGCTGACAAGGTCATTGTATCGACCATAGAACTTACGAAATGATGACTTTAAACGAGACTGCTGATATTCTTGTTTCATTAACTTGCTTAATTGTCAATAATTTACTTTGTTTAAGAAGTTGTTCATATGTAGAGCATGCTCTTGCTTATCGAATCAACTGAGATATATATATACTCCGTATGCAGGTGATGAAGGTATATTTCTGCATAAGTAAGGGAAGTTGACGATAGAAAAGATAAAGTCATCACGTTTATCATATAGCGTGGTTGTTAGATTACCATTTGTGTTTTTTTCAAGTTAAATATCCATGTATGAAGCAGAAAAGTCTGACTCTGTGGTATCTTTTATCTCAAGCTCACCAGGATATATCGTATCGACGAAGGAATGGAAATTACCATTATTAAATGACAATACGTCGTCGTAAATCTTAATGTCGAATTGAAGGCCACAGTAAGTGTTTTCTTTTTTTCACGCATAAGATTTTGCATAAACTCTGCTTCATATGAATATAAAAATAATATATATGATACAAATTCGGAATGATTTACTGAAAAATGGCCATAAAACGAAAGATGCAAACTAACAACTCATTTGTATTATAAACGAGATGATGTCAACTTTAAGATTATCATTTTTTCTTAATTTTATAGTAATATTCTCCTTTTACCCGTACCTGCACATACATGTAATGTTCCAAATGTACAGTGATCTTGTTTGCAAATATAATCGAATATGGGCTGAGGTCTTTGAAACAATCTTTTTAAACTAAAATTATCACACTGATTTTTTTCTTCAGAATAACGTAAACTAACAACAAATATTAATGATAAAAGTGATAAAGCAAAGTTATTCGTAAGCTTATGTACAACAGCTATTTTATGATAAACATTATGATCACAGCTTTTTTTAATTGTCCAATTGCCTTACTTATGTAGCAATAAACCATCATTGGACTTTTGCAAGAAGCATTGACTTTAACACCCGTCAGTTTACTTTGACATATTTAAAAATGTGTTATGTACGCAGGTACGAAATCATAAAAGGTAAGAACAGTACCACTGGTCAAAGGTCTAGCTTACATGAGATACAGATATGAAATGAACACAAGAGATGATGGGAGGTAGAATAACAAAACTTCGAATTTCTTATTATAGTGAGGAATAGTATTTTCATTCAATCTCATTTTATATGAAGAAATCAAACAAGGAAGAAGAAAAAGCACCCCGGTAGAAATACTTGGCAAGAGTTTGTGTCAGTTGGAAGGCAGGGGGTTAATTACATAAAGTATATGGTTTATGTTCTCCTTCCTAGACAACGTAATTTTTCTTTGAAATACCTATTTTTATCGTTTGATAAACTGTTAGGCTAAATATCTATATCGCAAAAGAGCTGTCATATATTGTCCCAGTGTAAAAGTAAGTCGTTAATTGTAAAGTCAGCACTCGTCGCAAAAGTCCAATACAACTGTATCTACATTTCAAGTTTAAGACTATTTGTTGATGGGATCACGCTCTTCGTATGAAAAATTTCTCAAACGAGACAAGCAATGAAAAAAGGGGAATCACACCCCTCCATGGCATCTGATCCCATTTTACGTTTTTAAAGGTGAGTATTTGCTCTGCTCCCAGATTTATTTTGTTGAAATTGACTTTGAGCATTTTAGGTTAAAATGGCTTTAATCTCCACTTTCCTTTGCTTAATCTGGAGAGTTAATTCATGCCTGTTTTATGTAATTAAAGGAAAAATTCTTTGAGGTTTTAACACGTTATATATTTATCATTTTCTAAGTGGCTACAAATTCTCGTTTCGAAACAGAAACAGGATAATGAACAGTAATAGCGTCTCTTTTTGGAAAGATAAATGCCACTTTGCCATACATTTTAAGAATTACATGATTTTGTATATAAATTATTATCAATCATAGACCATTTGTCAAAAGCATCGCCCTATCGTCTCTTCATCAAGGCAACAATCATTTAAAGGGTTATTGTTCTAAGAATTAATTATTTTGATTATAACATCTTTTTCTACAGACAAAATAGTATTATTTACGAAGAAGCTTTCACTAGATATAGAAACATTTAAAAAAAAAACAACAAATAATTAGACGTTAATCGCAGCTACGCCCAGTCTTTTAAGTCATATTAGATATATACTCTATCAAACAAGGCGTCATATCATATAAATGTACATTTTGAAAAACAGTTGTTAAAAAATATAAATATGTAACCCATTATAGAAATATAACTTACTCAGGGTAATGTTAAAATACTGTATGGCTGTTCCTGTTCCACAGAGACCAGAGGATCCAGACTCACACAGAAACTGTGTATAGGTGTCACTGCTTGTAAGGTTGTAGGTGATAGTACTGGTTCGTGTGTACTGACAGCCTGATGTTGAGGCCTGGGAGTGGATTGGTGTCTGTGGTAACCCTGTGAAGGACTGTGCTCCAGCAGTCTTAGCACACCAACGAATCGTCTGCAAGTCATTCAAAGAAAAGAATAAACCATTACACCTATATTATAAACTTGATCGGAGAAAAAAACTTTATTTGTTTTACCTATGCAGTTCGTACAATAGTATATTTATTAATTCTTATCTCTACCATGAATCTGTTTGCGGAGGTAAGTATTCGTAAAAGAAAATTCCCCCAATTTTATTACTATAAATTCCATGTATCAGTGCAAGATAATATATTCTGTATGTAAACACTTAACAGTAAATTCTATAAAATACTCCAAATGAAACATTTACAAAATTTTGTCAAAACTTAGATTGTTAAATCGTCTGAGAGCTTATGTTTTTTTTATAAATTGATTTTTTAAATTACATTCTGCATTCTCCTACGTTCAACCCTGAGATTTTTCAGCAATTTTTTTCAAGACCTAATAATTATAATGAACTGCAGATTCAACCTTTTGGAAGTTGTTGTGATTAATATGTTTTTTTAAATATTTAATTTATTTACTTATCTAAAGTATTTAACATATCTTTGGATTATCAATAGATAGAAAAGGAAATTAATCTTGAATAATCTATTTAAGATCTAAATTCATCCAGAAAACGTTAAAATTTCATTAAACAATATTTTTTTTTTATATATATTGCAACTTATTTCATATACATGTATTTCCATGCATGCAGCTTGGTGGTTTTCATTCTTATGATAAAACCTAACTACAATGACTACATAGTGTGAAAACATTTTTTCTTCATATTATGTACCTATATATAAAATATTGTAATATTACAGGCTTAGTACTTAACTATGTTATGTATGAGGGTGGATTTCAGCTTAGTATTATTGTTATATTATAGTGATTAGTCACCACATAATATGTATGGGGGTGGACTTCAGAATATAGCATAATACTCACAGGCCTGTGAAGTATATTTTAGTGATGTAAAGTATCATCCAGTTGTAAATTATTAGGAAACTGTTATTGTTCCTGTTAATTTATTTTCTTATCGTTTACATAAATTATTGATGCAATACACATTGTACTTCAACATTGTTATGTAAACAAATGTTTTTGTGTTACTAGACGATCTAGTGAGATATTGTTGAACAGACAGTAAGGGACAGTGATACTAAGATGTTATATGTCAGTTTTTCATAATTATCTACCATATTACGGCTGTTATTTACTTACTTTTCCCAGCATTATCGCATTATCACATGCATTGTAATAGGGCGCTTAGCTGCCATCTTTCTTACGAAGAAAATAAACATTGTTGTTTTACAATGATAAGATCAAAATAACACGTTCGGTGTCCTTAAATGCTAATAAATGATACTTAAATGTTATTTTATTGCAGTCTTGTCATTTAATTATGTTTTATTTGAGGAAATGTTTTGGCACTTGAATGTGTAGCCTAATACTTATGTGTGCTCTTTATTGTTCCGTATAACTATGCCGTGGATTGTGTGTGTCCGTTTTATTACAGATTGTTTGTTGAACTAATCTTATTAGATAGAACTTATAGCTCCCACCTTCGTATAGAAAGAACATTTTCAGCGACATTATTTTCTTTGTACATGTATTACACAAAATGTATGTAAAGTAGTTCTGAGGTGTTCCAGAAAGGAAAATGATTCATTGGTTAGTTTTGATCATATGACAATTACAGACTGAAGATTATATATATATGAGCAGCGAACATCAGTTTCACCATCATAACACGTCATCAACATCACTGACTGTATAGCTGTACATTACTAGAACTATTAGAGAGCGACTTAGGTATGAGAAAATAATGTAATCTTTAGTACAAAGTAGCCTTTAATTTCTCCACCGCACGGACACCGCAAGCCACTGTATTTTATTAGGCCAGAGATGTTAAATTTATTATAACAAATTATACCTACAAAATGGGCGTTTTCTACACTACAGCTAGGACTTAAACTCATTAATATTCTGACTAGTTTTGTTATATTTCATTGAAATCTTTATTAAATGAATATTTGAAATGATTTTTAAATTTTCAAAGATCTGAAGTACAATGTTAAGAGTGTTTAAATACTGCATGCTCTGCTTTTTATATGTACTGGATGGATGTCAAGAGTAGTCCTGATAAAAAAAAATCACTGAATTTACACGGGATTGATCACAGTTTGTTGACAAAGTGCAAAGGAAACTAATAATATGTTAGCTTTAAATGTTTAACACATACCGCACTAGGATCACTGCCTATCTGTCCTATGCAAGTTAACTGTAAAGCTGTTCCTACATCAAACTGTCTTTCATTTGTGTCAAACTGTTCTCCCAGTATCCTCACTCTGGGCATCTCAATTACAGTTGGCTGAACTGTAACACAGAAATAACATCGAATTATTGCAATTGATGTCATTCAAAAGCCTATATTTTTTAGCTATATTCATATCCCTGTATGTTTTTGAATTTGTCTTGATGTAGGAAAAATAAAAATAGTAAAGTAAATGTCACAGATTTCCGAAATCGACATTATTCACAAGTGCAGTATTACTGAAAATGTTGCGGATTCAGCAATTATAATTCTTGTTTGAAGTCAGTTTCACTTCTTGTGTTATTAACATCCATTTAATACCAGATTAGGTATAAAGTGGCTTAATTGTCTATTTACAAACCTCTATAATAAACCTGTACAGGAACTGATTCAGCATCTTGTTCAGGGATCATATTTAAATTATTATCCAATCCACTCAGTTTACACCTGCATTCTTTGAAATCATCTGGACATCTCACGTTTTCTTTTGTAAAAGTTAATCTAAGTTCCGATGTAGAAGGTGGTTCAAGAGACCCTGTTGCAGTTGTTCTGGCTTGTAAAGTTGAATCGCGATATCTTATCTCTTCTTGATAATTATCTATATTTATTAAAATAGAAACCACATTTTCAAAAGAGTTGGATGTGTTCCTCTGCAGTTCCATAAAATACAATGCCTTGACCTGAGATGGATTGTTTAAGGAGCAGATAATAGTCATTGTATCCTCTCCCATATCAACTGTCTGTGGTATAGCTTGGATCTGTAGGTTCTGCGACCATGCTTAAATAAATATGCATTTACACAATAGAACAATGACCTTAAATGGGACATGGACACAGTTTCAACTTAAATTTTGAAAATAAATTTTTATGTTTATAATTCCTAACTAAGGCATCATCTAATAATCAGCCAAAATTTGAACATCATTTGTTGGTTACCAAACAAGGTACATAACTTAAAGTTCTTCATAATTTAAAAAAGGCTCATGCCTTGTTTTTGTTTACATATAGAAAATATTATATTTAAAACAACATGAAATTAAGCAAATCACTAGAAACTGTCTAACCGTATTCAGAATAAACTTCTTTATTGAAATTATCTTCTTTTAACGGACATTTATTAGTATATTTACCTACGTAAATAAAAACATGACACGGCCCTTGTTTAAGTACAAAGGTTTGAAGCTCTAAATATGTCGTGTATCTCGACAAACGAAGTTTAAATTTTTAATGATCATTAGAAAGACCTTAGTTTAATATTTGTAAAATTATAAAAATAAGTTAAAAATAGTTTGGGGTGAAACTGTGTCCATGCCCCTTTAAGGGTCATCTAAGTACGATTTTTATCTGATGCAAAATCTCAAATTAAACTAAAAATCTATTCTCATATTTAAATATATTTGACATTTGAAAATACAAGATAATTTGAAAACGCAGTTGTTAAAAAATATAAATATGTAAACCATTACAGAAATATTACTAACTCAGGGTAATGTTAAGAAACTGTATGGCTGTTCCTGTTCCACAGAGACCAGAGGATCCAGACTCACACAGAAACTGTTTATAGGTGTCGACGCTTGTAAGGTTGTAGGTGATAGAACTAGAACGAGTGTACTGACAGCCAGATGGTGAGGCCTGGGAGTGGACTGGTGTCATTGGTAACCCTGTGAAGGACTGTGCTCCAGCAGTCTTAGCACACCACCGTATTATCTGCAAATCAATTAAAGAAAAAAGAAAAAAAAACTATAAGACAAGTATCATAAACTTGATCTGAGAAAAATAAAGTTTGTTTAACCCATGCATTACCCTTCTTAAAGCTGAACACGATTCGTAAGAGTAATGTGTCTGCCATTTTTGTTCCCGAGTCTCGCTACCCTGCAGACCCCTATAAATAGGGCAAGAATTAGAGACTGTTCAGTGTAATCAGTCGACACCTGTGTAGTCGGACCTATGCTATTCAGGCCTTGGGAGCGAGAATAATAACGGTAATACTTCGTCAAATGCAGGAAAGTAAGATAGGAAATAAAGGATGACTGCACTTAAGGAAACTTAGAAATTGCGACATAATTAATTTTAAAAATGGGCATATTTCTTTTAATAGTAGAAATGGCCAATGTCTAAACTGCAACTTTGTGTATTTACGTTAATTAAAAGTTCGTCTTAACGAAGTTCGAAGTCGTTTTTATTGGGAGGGGTCATCGCATATTCTGGAATCTCCATAGGATAATAATTACGCCCACTTCTACCGGTCGATATTATTTGTTATTAGTTATATACTTTATTTGAAAACTTAAAAAATAATAGTGACAAACATATGCCGAGAGAGAGAGAGAGGGGGGATGCACCAAATATAAATACACAGTAACTACTCTAATAGACTACTCTTCACAATATTAGCTCCGCCTCTTGTGCATATTTATAAATCTTATCTACAATCAAGGGCAGATAAGTCTAATTTCCCGATATTTGCAGAGAGGTGGGGTAAGAAAACAACAAATTATTTTATTGCAACGCAGTTTATAAGCTTTTTGACATTGCCTTTCATTTGGAAATAAACCAAACTCTATAACAAATGACTTATGGCAAAAAATAAAATCAAAAATAAATGTGACAACAGAGATTGAAAAAGACCCAAAAACCGGCGTTAAGTGCAGTCATCCTTTACAATTATAGTTGTATAAGTCAGTGCATTATACAAACAACACAGATAAACGTAACTGCAATAAAATATAAACAAAGGTAATGCAAGATAACCAGCACTAACACGGGTCGCCATTCCACGCCAATACCTGTGACAATAAAGCAGTCAGGTGTAACGAATGGGACGAGTATACCTATGTATTGATGTATCGTCGATAATGCTATCGAAAATGGGGTATGCCTATTTACGAGTCGTGTTCAGCTTTAATGTGTATTTATTCTTATCCCTACCCTAAATCTGTTTGCGGAGATAAGTGTTCGTAAAAGAAAAATCCACCAAGGTTTAAAATATAAATTCCATGTATCAGTGCAAGATAATATATTCCGCTTGTAAACACTAAACAATAATATGTATATAGAACACTACAAATGAGAATTGTTACAGAATTTTGTCAAACATTAGATTGTCAGATCTTCTCACTGCTTCTGATTCTGTTTAAATGGACATTTTAAATTACATTCTGCATGAAACAAGTTTTTCTTCTACGTTCAACCCTGATATTTTACAGCAATATTTTCAAGATCTAAAAATCAACTGCAGAGATTCCACCTTTTAGAAGTTGTTGTGATAAGTAATCATATCTTCTTTATATTTAAATTATTTACTTATCTGAAGCACTTAACATATCCAAACATATCCTAGGATTTACAAAAAGACAAACAAGAGACCCATGAGCCACATCCCTCACCTGAGCACATTGGTTTGGAAAGAAAAAAAAAACTTCAGCATTGAGAATTTTACATTGGGTGGGGACTTGAATTTTAAATTACCTGACGGGGCTTACATATTAATATAACAAATTTGAGCAGATGATTTTTCCCTATTTATTCATTTGCCCCCCCCCCCCATTGTGGTCCTGTCCTACAACTGGGAGCCTCATTTCCTACAACTGGGAGCCTCATTTGACCCTGTATGACTTTGTACTACCCGAGGATGCCTCCATATCAATATGATTAAACATGGATTTTCTGTTCTTAGGGAACAATTTTCCTTGATATTTTTAGGTAAAACTTTGATCCCCTAATGTGGCTTACCTTACCCAACCTCCTACTCCCGCAGTCATGACTTGAACAAACTTGAATCTATACTAACTGAGGATGCTTCCATAAAGATTCGACGAATGAATGCCTTGTGATTCTTCAAATGAAAAGTTAAAAAAAAAATTGAAAAGTTTAATCGTCCATCGTGGCCCCGTCTAACCCCAGGGGTTAAGATTTGAACATATTTGAATCTATACTAGCAAAGGATTGTGTCACATAAGTTTCATCTTTCCTGGCCCAGTGGTTCTTGAAAACAAGATTTTCTAAGATTTTTGATAGTAAATTGTGGTCCCGCCCTTCCCCTGTGGTCATGATTTGAACAAACTTGAATTTACACTTCCTGGGGATGTATTCGCATAAGTTTCATCTTCCCCGGCCTAGTGGTTCTTGAGAACAAGATTTTAAAAGATTTTTTCCTCTATATTCCTTTGTAAAACTTTGATCATCTGTCGTGGCCCCACCCTTCCAACGGGGGTCATGATTTGAACAAAATTGAATCTGCAGTACGGTGTACCTGAGGATATTTCTTGATGAGTTTTATTTTTCCTGGGCCACTGGTTCTTGAGAGTAAGATTTTGAAAGATGTTTCCAATATATTCCTATGTAAAACTTTGATCGTCAATTGTGGCGTCACCTTACCACTGGGGGTCATGATTTGAACAGACGTGAATCTCCACTACCCGAAGATGTTTTCATCTTTCCTGGCCCAGTAGGTCTTGAGAAAAAGTTTTTATAAGATGCCATTAACTTTTCACTAATTTTGAATAATCTCCCCTTGGATTAGGATGTGGAATTTCATCTTTACAAAGTTGAAACCCCTTTACCATAGGATACTTTTTGGCAAGTTTGGTTTAAATTGGCACAGTGGTTTTTGAGAAGCAGTGGAAAATGTGAAAAGTTTACAGAAAGACGGACATAGAGACAGGCAGACAGCTAGATAAACGGACGCCGGGAAAAGCCTTCGGCTCAGGTGAGCTAAAAAACAAATTAATCTCGAATATTCTATTTTAGATCTAAATTCATTCAGGTAACTCGAAAAATTCATTAAACGATATTTTATATATTTCGATTTATTTCATATATTTCCATGCATGCGGCTGGAAGTTTGAGTTAATGGGTTTCATTTTTATTATCAGACATAACTAAAATAACTAAATAGTGTGAAAACATTTTTTTCTACATATTATGTATTTATATATAAAATATTTAAGCTTTTAAAATGTTTAACACATACAGCACTAGGATCACTGCCTATCTGTCCTATACAAGTTAACTGTAAAGCTGTTCCTACTTCAAACTGTCTTTCATTTGTGTCAAACTGTTCTCCTAGTATCCTCACTCTGGGCATCTCAATTACAATTGGCTGCACTGTAACACAGAAATAACATCTAATTATTGCAATCGATGTCATTCAAAAGCCCAAATTTTTTATCTACATTCATATCTCTGTATGTTTTTAAAATTTGTCTTGATGTAGAAAAAAAAGCAAAGTAAATGTCACAGATTTCCGAAATCGTCATTATTCACAAGTGCAGTATTACTGAAAATGTTGCAAATTCAGCAATTATAATTCTTGTTTGATGGCAGTTTCACTTCTTGTGTTATTAACATGCATTTAATACCAGATTAGGTATAAAGTGGCTTAATTGTCTATTTACAAACCTCTATAATAAACCTGTACAGGAACTGATTCAGCATCTTGTTCAGAGATAATATTTGAATTACTATCCAATCCACTCAGTTTACACCTGCATTCTTTGAAATCATCTGGACATCTCAAGTTTTCTTTTGTAAAAGTTAATCTAAGTTCCGATGTAGAAGGTGGTTCTAGAGACCCTGTTGCAATTGTTCTGGCTTGCAAAGTTGAGTCGTAATACCTTATCTCTTCTTGATAATTATTTGCATTCATTATAATAGAAACCACGTTTTCAAAAGAGTTGGAAGAGTTCCTCTGCAGTACCATAAGATACAATGCCTTGACCAGAGATGGATTGTTTAAGGAGCATATAATAGTCAGTGTATCTTCTCCCATATCTACTGTCTGTGGTATAGCTTGGATCTGTAGGTTCTGTGATGATCCTAAAAGAAAAAAACCTTTACATAAGAGAAACGTGTACCCATGTTTTACTCAATCATGGAAGCACAACTTTTGTAACATCTGGATCAGCTTGAAAACCATGGAAACAATTTGCCTGTTACATGTCCTTAAATAAAAGGCATAAGATGGTACTCACTCATCCCCTCTAGAGAGCATAAACAATCCGTTTAACCTCTTTAATAAAGAAATTATTATTAATTACAGGGGTTCAAGTAAATGTTTTACCACGCCTATCTTCGCTCCTCTGCATAATAATATATTTGAGAAATGGTTTATATAAATAACATATATTTGTAAGGTCATTATAAACAAACTGATTTTCGACGGATTTTCCATTATTTACCAATCATGACAACGGTCTCACGGCGGTGGTGACCAGACACAGGATGCTTACTACTCCATGGCACCTGATCACTGATGTTTTGGTATTATGGGTTTGCTCCTCTTCTATACTGCACTGTTTAATGGATTTTTGAGCCAGAATACTGTTCGTTACCTACATATATTTCATTTACTGATCTTTAAAATTCTGCGTAACTTGAAATTATTTTTTAATCATTCAATAACAACAAACATACGAGTTTTCGTTGATACAATCCTTCCTATGACAAATTAAATTCCGTGCTTTTTGAATCATATTCAGCTGTTTTTCAATAAAAGGGGAACTCGTATTTTATACGAAAGTTATTTTGTTAAAAAAATAGGTTTGAACATACAGAAACACTACAGATATTTTAAAAAGTTGCTTGATTTTCAGATTGACAATATCCATTTGGTTTGGTGGATCAGGTCTTCCAATAATCTGCCAGATCGAATTCCCATTGCATTCCGGTTGTTATGAGCTAGCAGATTTTTTCTGTATTCGTGAAATGTAGAAACAGCGAACAGTTGCAATTTCAAAAGCCTATTAAAGCAATACAAATTGGTAGCACAGAAAACACGGTTATCCAAAAACATAAAAAGGAACTAGTTACCATGGTCGAGTGAGCACACCCCTTTCATCAGTTAAAAGCCTACTAATAAACATCGTCTCAATGCAATAAAACAAAATTATGTGAGAGGAAGCGTTTTAAAACAGTCCCACTTAACTGTTTTAGTTTTGGCCTTTATACCGTATTTGTTTTTGAATTAACAAACAATGTACAAGTAGCTTGATTTGTATATCCTATTCCTTATTCTAAAAGTTGGCAAAATTTAGCAAACAAGAGGCCCACGGACCTTATAGGTCACCTTAGTATTCTGTAACAATTTTCAAAGAATTAAATTTGGTTCGTGGTTTTAAAACAGAGGCCATGAAATTCACAATTCACAATTTTGAAAGAGGCACCCTTGCTAATCATAATTATAAACTTAGCATGTTTACTCTGTTTACTTAATACCAAGAGGTAGATCAGAGTAACAAAGAGAAAATGCACTTCCACTTTTTACCCAGTTGTGCACCTCACTCCAAAGAAAACACTAACCCAGGGGCCACATATTTCAAAATTTTTCAAATTTTATCATAAAATGGTTCATTTATACCAAAGAGCAGATTGGAGCATTAATTTATTTTCAGACTATGTAACACCCCCCCCCCCACCACTCTGACCCAGGGGGCATATAAAAACCACTTTGCTAGATGCTTCATCATGAATATATATACTTGGATCATTGGCATAAAACCAAGAAGCAAAGGAAAATATTTTCAGAGAATTAATGTATTTTTACTATATAATCAACAGAGTCATGCCCTAATACCAGAAACCCTGACCCTGGGGCCATCAAATTCACAATTTTAAAAGAGGAACTCTTGCTCATCATAACGCTGTGCTTAGTTAGTTCATTTAATACGCAGAAGCAGAGAAGAAGATTTTCAAAGAATTAATGAATTTTCACTATATAATCAATAGAGCCCCGCCCTTTCACCAGACCCCTGACTCTGGGGCCATAAAATTCACAATTTTAAAAGATGCACTCTTGCTCATCATAACGATGTGCTTAGGTAGTTCATTTAATACCCAGAAGCAGAGAAGAAGATTTTTAAAGAATTAATGCATTTTCACTATATAATCAACAGAGCCCTGCCCTAACACCAGAACCCCTGACCCTGGGGCCATAAAATTCACACTTTTGGAAGAGGCACTCTTGCTTATCATAACTATGTGCTTAGTTAGTTTTTTTAATACCCAGAAGCAGAGAAGAAGATTTTCAAAGAAATAATGCATTTTCACTATATAAGCAATAGAGCCCCGTCCTATCACCAGAATCCCTGACCCTGGGGCTATAAAATTCACAATTTTAGAAGAGGGACTCTTGCTCATCATAACTATGTACTTAAATAGTTGATTTAATACCCAGGAGCAGAGAAGAAGATTTTCAAAGAAATAATGCATTTTCACTAAATAACTTATTTAGCCCCGCCCTAGCACTAAAACCCTGATCCTGGGGCCATGAATTTCATAATTTTAGTAGAAGACTCAATGCTCATTACATTCATGCCAACAGTTTGCCTGCTTGATGTCCAGGAGTAAAGAAGAAGGTTTTTAAAGATTGCAGTAATTTTAGTGGTTTTTGCCCCACCCCTCAGGCCCTAGGAGGGCGGGGACCATTAAATTCACAATTTTTCCCCTTTACCAATAGATGCTGTATATCAAATTTGGTCGAAATTGGTTCAGTGGTTTCAGAGAAGCTGAAAATTTTCAAATGTTTAACACACGACGGACGACGCACGACGACGGACGAAAACGGATAGCAATAGGTGTCCTGGGTTACTCAGGTGACCTTAAACAGAAGAAAAGCGTTTATAAGAAAAAAAAAATAGTATTACCATTTTCAAGAAAACACCTATGTTTAATCTAAATGGTGAAATAATTTACAATCCAAAGCATCTTTTGGTTTCCGGCACTCCTTGACATGAATTTAAATAACTACTAGTAATTATAAAATGCAAAGATTTGAAAAAAAAAAAAAACAACTTGCATTTCAATATTCGAGTATATTATCAAGTGTGTATATGACAGAAATGGTATATCATAAGATGTATCTTCATTGCAATTGAAGAAAGATTGACTTGCTAAAATATTATACTATACTATTATATCCTAAAATATAAACTTTTATAATTGTACGTACCAAAACGCAAGAAAGAAAATTGCAGCAAACATGAAAAACTGCAGGAAATAAAAAGCATGTTTCTTGTCCTTTCCATTTTGCTTTTATTATTTCCTTGTTTATATATGTATGGTGCGCATTGGATAACAAGTTGAAATAATATAAGGAAAAGAAAAAGAAAAAAATCAGGTAATAGGAGGTATAGGTGGCTTGGTTAAATGTTGAAGTTAAGCTGAATACATCTTGTCTTGATATAATTCAATATTATATCACTTTTGATCATATTAAAGAAGGCTAAAAAAAGAATAGTGAATATAAGAAATTGTTATCAATCTCAAAAATCTAGTTAAATAATATAAACTATATATGAAAACAATATATAAAAAATAATCCCTTTTATTATATGATTGAATAATTTCCATCTCTCTGATTGGCTGAGATCCAACTATGTTAGAAAAATACTACCTTGTATTGACCTGCACGTGACGTTCCAGGTCAATACAAGAATTTCTTTCCTCTACATTGATCTAAAAATAGATTTGGAAATTCCAAATTGATAAAAATTGTTTTGGAAAGCTATTGAAACAACTGTGATTTTTTTTCATATGAAAAAAACATAAGCGAATATATATTTTAGGGTGAGGGTGATAAGAGGGGATGCAGGGACCCTCCTCCAACACATTTACTGAACAACATGTTTTTTTTTACTTTTTGGCAGTCAGTTTTCCCTGATAATACTCCTTCCTTTCAAAATCTATCCTATAAAAAGACTGACATATTATTTTTTTCATGGCAACAACTAAATTGGTTAAAAAAAACATTTCAAATTGATACGACTGGTAAGGTTTATTCACATTTTAATTCTGTTTCTCTCTTGTATTTTGCTAGGACTTAATTAAATGCAAACAAGTAATGAGCAGTATTATTTTATCAGTGAATCATATAATAAAACAATTACTGCTGTTTTTTTTCTGTCAATACAATGATTTAGCCATCTTCGAAGTACAATATTCACCTTGCCCTTCGAGATCAGTGAATATTGTACTCCTCAGGTGGCTAAATCATTGTACTGACCTCAAAAAACAGCAATAATTGTATATTATGCTTACATGTAATACTTAACAAATGCTTATTCAGGTTTTTTTCTTTTCAAACAAGGTTTCTAGTCTTGATTTTTTCAGAATTATGCTTCTTAATCTAAAAGGAGAGAAATTTGTTATGTAAGATTAAAAAACGATTTTAACTAGACCTTATTTTTGTCGTTCAACAAAAACGGAGGGCTTTTCGACCCCTGAAAAGAAGAATCTTATATTACACATTTAACAAATTCAAATAATACAATATCGCAAAAGTTCTTTTGAAATCAATACTGAATTGAAAACATAACGATTCTCTTTGTCTAATAGTGTCTACTCAAAGAGAAATAACTCTTTCATCAATATTGAAAACATACGAAAATGTACTGTTTTTCAATCCACAAAAACTCCTATAAGGGGTCAAAAAATGACCCCACGGCCTGTAATTTTTAAACTGTACTCTTTATGCTTAATGCAAAACCAAAATTAGTTTGAAGATTGGTTGAAAAATAAAAAAGTAACAGAGAAAAAGTTGCTTTCTGTACTTACCCGTAAAGTCCCTTCTATTTAAGGGAATTTTATTTCCATGAACTTACAAACTGTTGACAATGATAGAGTCATTATTCATGTGAAATATCACGAGAATTGCTTACTTCCCTTTTGAGATATGGGACATTGTATGATTTCATATTTAACATAGAAATCTCCTTAGACAATTTTAAGGGACTTATAAAACCGGAAGTACACTTCATATACATACCAAAATTGAAACACAGAGGAAATATTAGGTTCCAGAAAGGTGGACAAAGAGAGATAACTGTTGCACAATTATTTTTTGATACTACTGAAAAATACAATATTTCAGATCTCTAAAAGTCCTATAAGGGATCAAAAAGTGCCCTTCTTATGCTTAACTCAAAACCGAAATAAGTTTGAAGATATGGGGTCAAATAGAATAGTTACAGTCAAAAAACTGTTTTTCTATTCTGGCCCCTAAAATCCTTTCTATTTTAGGGAACTTTGTTTTCATGACCAAACCTCTTAAAGACAGTACAACAATTATTATTCATGTGAAATTTCACAAGAATTGCTTGCTGTACTTTTGAGATAAAGAAACAAATGTGATTTCAAATTTAACATAGGAATCTCCATAGGCAATTTTAAGGATATTATAAAACCGGAAGTACTCTTCATATACATACCAAAATTGAAACATAGAGAGAATATTACACTTCAAACAGATTGACAAAGGGAGATAACTCTTACACTATCATTTTATGAAAAGACTAAAAAATACAATATTTAAGGTCTCTAAAACTCCTATAAGGGGTCAAAAAGTGACCCCACGGACCATAATTTTTAGACTGTCCTTTGTATGCTTAAGTCAAATCTGAAAACTGTTTGAAAATTCATTGAGAAATAAAAAAGTTACAGGGAATGGTCTGTTTTCAAAGTTGGCCCCTAGAAATCCCTTATTTTCCAAAATTTCAATTTCATACTTTAAGAAGTGTATCAGAGTCATTCTGTATACAAAATACAACAGGAAAATCTTGAATACTTTAGTAGAAAATGCGCCACGATTAATTTCATTTTAAAAGAAAACTTTTAAGGGTCATAAAACCGGAAGTTCTTTTCGGATTGACATGAAACTTTCAGTATATGATCTACTAATTAGTTCTAACATATTTCTATGCTCAAAATAATTTTGAAGACGCAATTGTGACTTTCAAAAATTTCAACCCCCTTTCTTCAATGTTTGAAGTCTTATATCTCGAAAAGTATTTGTGTTCAAAAATTACGTACGCGCACTTTTTTATTGGATAAGGTCTCTAGAATTCATATCTTAAATTTGGGAGTCTAGACCCGAAAATTAAAAATGTTTTTGGCTTCTTTGGAATATTCAGTTTTCCTTTAGTAGAAACCGGAAGTGACTATACCGGAAGTTGTTCTTGTTTCACGCACGAGAGAATTTAATTTGCTATATAGTGGTAACAATATAAAATACCTATTCTTAAAGGTACTCCCTAAATGCTGAACGATAGAAGTGTTCAGTATAATAATAATAATAATAATAAACAAGACGAAAACAATAGGTCTTTTCGACAAAAGTCGAAAAGCCCTAATTAATCGAATAAAAACAAATTAACTTTAATAAGACAGATAAATATGATTTGCAAATTTTGCAATACCTATCGATTTTGCTGTATGTTTCAATCTGCTCAAGGTTAATATCCAAAGTCTAAGGATTTTTCTATTTTGCGGAAGGGGAACCAAAATGTATGAAAGCAGCCAAGTGCATCATCACTTTGAATTTAATTCTACGACTTTGTTATGTAAATGATATCTTGCACATAATATCATCTCTCAAGGTATTTCAGCTGGTTCTATTCAGGTTACGTTCTACAAAGCACGAATAGCCGCTTTTTGTCATTAAAGACGCAATACCTTAAGAAATAGAAAGAAGAATCCTTAAAGTGTTAAGTTTTTTAACTTTTTTTTAATTTTAAAAAGATGGGACTATTGAGAGTCAATGAGGATGAAAATTATACATACAGTACCTGGCCATAAGTAAGTCATAATTTTATTTTTAGGGCTGGGTATTGGCCCGAGATTTCGTATTGCGATATATTGCGATATTTTAAACTGTATTGCGATATGTATTGCAATATTTTCAATGTAATTTAAATGGCATTTTCTTACTATATTTACTCTAATTTACATGCAGAATGTACATAACTATGATAAGTAACCAACACAGAAAAAAATCTTGTTGATTTCATTTAAGTTATGCTCGGAAATGTTCCCAAAAAACAACTTCTGTCTTACTATTTGGCTTAATAACAAACTTTCATAAGTCCATTTTTATATTTAATGACATAATTCCTTAATCTAAGCATATTGCCAATATATCGATATTACAAAATCGTATTGCGATACGATATTTTTTATCATTGTATCGCAATATATTGAAATATCGATATTATTGCCCAGCCCTATTTATTTTTACACTATATATTTCATTGAAAAATGTATTTTTATAAAAACTTGTTGTGAAGTCAATTTTAGCTCAATTTTCATGATTTTTTTTCACTGAAACATGCAGAATTATTCAAATTTTCTTATCTTAGATGACAAACAAAATGATTCTTAAATTATTGAGAATAAATTATAAAGTATTGTCAAGACAAAATTTTCTAACCTCAAATTGCTATGATTTCTTAACAAATTGAAATCTTAAAATTTTTGTTTTGCACTTGACCTGTGATTTCAAAGTAATGCATAAAGATAAAACTATTTTGAAAAAATGTGAAGAAACTACAACAAATTCTGCATTTTATGGTGTTTTAGACATTAAAAAGAAACAACAAATGACACTGCAATAACATTTTAGAAAAATATGTTTTTCAATGAAATATATAGTGGAAAAATAAAATTATGACTCATTTATGGCCAAGTACTGTGTATTACCAATATGAATACGGCAAGAAAAATTCAAATCATCCCTCAAGAATAGATTTAAATAACGAAAGTACAACAGATATTTTAATGTGACTACATTAATCACCTCGTATAGAGAAAATTCATACAAATTCTGTTTAATACAAATAATGGGTTCTTTGCTGAAAATGACTTGCATTAAATATGTTCGAGGTTATACATTTTAGAGTGTGCAACTCTTAATTAATCTTAAAAGTAAAATGTGTTTTAAACCAGCTGGACACTTTTGTATTCGCATAAGAGGGCTGTTCGGATTTTATAGAGACATTTTTTTCATTCCATTAATTTTTGAAAGGAACATATAAATATACACTAAATAGAAACAGTCTTTATAGAAAATAAGAAATATTCACGAAATGCATGTATTTGCACTGTTTTTAAGGCCTATTATTGTCGACGGCAAGGGTAACAAGCGTAGTCTCAAAATCACGAACTAGTTTTGGAATTATGTAAACACTACATACATGTACAATGTCCTTGATGATCAAAAGAATGATATATATGGAGATAAGAACAGTATTCAACATCAAAGCCATGAAAAAAT